GGCTTGGTGAATCATTGCCAAAATCATGTTGCAGCAGTCTTAAAGGTGAACAATTCCACTGAGCTTTTCCCATCCTCGAACACACTCGAGACAGCAGTTTCCCATGTCAATATACAGAAGCCCAGTTCCTACAGGAATAATACCACATGGGGAAATCAGTTGGCCCACACACCATTAGGCCTAGGCTGAAGGTTGGGGTGTCCTGCCTCCCCAGTTTGAGTTGGGGGGTGGGGGGTGGGGGGTGGTGTGTCTGTCAGGGCCAGGGGTCTGTGTGATATTAGCCGTCTGCCAATCTGGCTTGGGGAATGGACACCGAGTAATTACTCCTGCTCTTACTGCCTCATCAATCTCCCTGTATCACCCCCCACCCCCCACCCCAACGCACACTATCTTTTTTCATTCTCTTCTGCAAAGGAGCAGGGAAAGAAAAAACGATTGAGTGGCAGGACACAACAAAACACAAGACAGATCCCTGAAAAGCCAATGAGATAATTTAGCAGCACTGCATAGTGAATGTAAATAGAAAACTGACTCTTTACAATAGAAAACTTGCGACGGTACAAAGGTAGATGACCTATTCTTGCTTTAGACTCATGTGACAGTAAAACTGAAAATTCAGGTATGGCAGCTTCACATAGGTCACATTTCTGCCACAAACTATTTTTATCTTGTTACTGCTTTTGGCTTGAAAGGTACTGTATGCTTTTCCTCATAAAGAAATAATAAAAAGACATCCCACGGGTTCCTAACAACACATAAAATTTTAGGGCTCTCTTCCAAATTGGGCTCTTTGAAAACTAATAATAATTAAGTTGCTTTAATGAGGCATGTGATTCAGTAGACTTCATGTACTGCACTCTGTCAAAGTCGGTGGAATACAAACATCTAAATCAATCATGTGATGCTGAACGTGTTTTCCCTAACAAAAATTGAGTGCTACCAACTGTTTAGCACTGGTGTGTGATGTTTTGTTGTCAACTTTCATGTATGGCCTCTGAAATAAACATTACAATTTAAATGAAAGATTACAAATTATAATGACAATTCTAAAGGCTCTAAAAAAGTTTGTGATGTGTTTATTCTGGCTGTGAATAAACACATAGCACCTATGTGTGACTCTTAATAGTGTTGTTTTGTTTTGGTGTTTTAACAACTGCAATCATGCTGTAATTCAATTAACATGTAATTGGGGTTGTTTGGTTGCTGAAATGGTGTTGTAATGCATATAGACAACTTGAGTGCTGTGAATACCCAGGTACGGTAATAATTTGATTAAGGAACTCACATAGTTTGTAAAAACATTACAACCCTAATGAGCCAATTTAACATATGTTGTTTAATAGTTTGGATACACTCGAAAAGAGCATGTGGTAAATGACAAGCTAACAAAAAATATTAGAAAGGATCCACTCATAAATCTTACACTACAAAAAAAAATATTTAATAACATTGTAACTGTTTAAATTGGCCATTTTTGTATTAATTGATAAGCTATCATAACTAAACGTGATCAGCTTTTATATAAAATGTATCCAGAAGTAGTACTGAAAAAACAAACCAGAGAGCGAGTTCATTGAGTTTCCTAAATCTCACCATTCATCCATCTTGTCAAAACATTAATAGGATGTGATGATGGGTTGTCAGCTAGCCGCTTTGCCAACATTCTAGCTAAGTGCTGCTGGCTCTGCTGGTGGGCATTGAGATTTTGGTGCTTGTCTGTGGTTAGATATCCAACATAGATAGCTATCGCAGTCAAATTAAACAAACATTACAGGACTGATCTTGTTTTTCAACCAAATAGTTAACTTATTATTTGAAAAATAATGTATCATAACAATCTATCTGCTCTAAAACTCACTCAGAGGCTGGTCAGAGAAACACAGAGAGAAAGGAGTGGGCCTGTGGCAGAGGCAGAAAGCAAATAACCAGTACCCCAGACACATTGTTAGGACACTGGCATAACTGGGCACCTAACAAAGCAATCAACTGGCTCAAGTTAACATCACACTGGCTACAAGCCATGAGGATGTCCTTGTTGTTAAACCCTCACTGTTGTTGCTGAGGGATACACAGCCCATGTGAGTGGCCGTGCACAGACACATGTATAATCATAAAAACGGTGACAGACACGTTAACTTTTAACACTAACAGCGAGACGGAGCCAGCTATTTAAGTCTTAAGTAAGGTAGGATGCTGGCCAGTTTGCTACTATTCCTAAGCAGCCAACTAGCGGCATTATCCCACAGAGTTGTTTATCAAGACAGCTTATCAAGATGAGTGGTAAGAGTTGGGGTGTGACCTTTTCCAATTGAGGTGTTCTAAGTTTAAAAAAAAAACTGTATAGCTTTAATTCTACTTGAAAAACAATTTTTATTTTCATTTATAACCTGTCCAAAAATAAACAACTGGGAATGTTCAGGCTTGAAAAAGAGAGACTTAAGCAGAGTGACAGAACAGAGTGAGTGACAGATTCACTGTCATGTGTAAAGCACAAGGAATGCATAAAAGTAAGGAGAAACGCCTCAAACATGCCCAAACTAAATGAAAAACTTCTGAGAATAACTGCAGTGGCTTGTGAGAGATTTTGGCATAAGCTGTCCCATTGCACCAAGAGCTATTTTTACAGCAAATACCCATGAGAGCGAGAGAGAACAGAACTGAGTTGAAGCAAAGCCACTGGCTCTCAACTTTGATCATTTCCCGTCCCTCTCCAAGTGCTTTAATTTCTTTTTTGGAGTGTATCTTTAATAAAGTATTAACAAGAATCAAATTTCACGCATATGGAGGTCATGTTTAATGTGAGAGCTCAGGACAACGCAGGCACTGTTGTAAAATAGGGGGTGTTTTGGGGTGGTGGCAGTGGGAGGGGGGTACTGGCATTAGCGCAGAACATTTCCTTTACAATGAAAACAATCTAACCAACTGCAGCACTCAGAGGAATTCACCTCCCATCCCCCACACCCCACCTCCCCTCCTCCACCACCACCATTACATTACCATATCAAAGCCCCGAGTTCAGAGCAAGTCTTCTCTTTCAAGAATGGGAGCGAGGCATAGAGAGGGAGGGGGAGAGGACAAGACCGAGGCAGTAGGAGTAAACCCAAGACCGAGTTTGCTTTTATCCCTGTTCAGTGTGTGCGTATGTGTGCAAGTGAGACACAGTGTGTATGTGGGTGTGCCTGCAAGTGCATGTTTGTTAGTGAAAAAAGACTGCAGAAAATCTGTGGAGATACTAGAGGACTACTGATTGGGTCTTCCACAAGCTGCACTGAAGTCAATTCACATTCCAGAGGCACATAATGGGGCCTGCAGGGGGTCTGATGGAGTAGCAGAGAAATGCCAAAGCAGGTACACAGTGCAGTTAGAAGGGCACTACGTGGCAGATGGCCAACAGAGAACAGGCAATGCCAAAGATCTCTATATCTCATGGTTGGCATAGTCACCTCAAGCATGAATCTATTGTTAACCTACCACTGTGCCTTGTCTGTTTTTCTGCTCAGCTTACTGTATGAGTACTCACAGACCCTCTCTCTAGTTTGCTGGGAGACTAAATGTGAAAATCAAAGTGAATGGCATTAGGGTAAATAAGACCACTGGTTGCCTGGGAAACAGTGTACCCTGCCCCACTCACTCAAGCCTAGCCTTTACTTTTGTCCAATCACTGGAGAGCAATAATACATTATTGACAGAGGGCCACAACAGGCAGCAGTGCAGCATTTTCAAATTGTATTTGAACAAGAGAGGTTTGCTGTTGGAAGATACACTAGGCATGTGAAAGAGAGAAAAGCACACAGAACGACAAGAACGGAGGGAGACTGGCAGAAGGAGAGGATTCAAAAACACACCCCATTTACACTACCATAACCATCAATCTGCCATCCATCCCAGGCCTGCTCCTTTGAACCACACTAGAATCTGTCAGAAAGCTGACTCGAATAGCTAACAAGATGAGAATAAGCAGCATGTTTACTTTGAATAATTTTATGTGTAAGAGCAAATCTGAGATATTTATATAAGCAATAATTTACACCAGATCATGTGTTTGAAATTCAGCATTATTTTTTAAGACGGTGTCGGAATAGTTTCTTGTTGCTTTGCATGTTTGGATGAAGGTACTGCACTGATGTGCATAGCAATTTATTCCCAGAACACAATTATCCTACACTGTGTGGTGTAGCTTTTTTAACAATGCAGAAGAAAAGAACATCTCTTTGTACTGAAACACCGTAACAGTTTGACTGTAAAGCAATAACCCCTGTGGAGTTTTCCATATCTACCTGCTGTCAACTACTTGTGCATGAACTTTATCTTGGGATCAGGTTTGATTTTTTTAATCTAATAATTTGGATATGATAGTTTGTAGTAATGGTAATTGTAGTTGTAGTTGTAGTGGGGTCGGGTCTTTATTCCTGAGTCATAATAAAATAAATATTTCTGTGATACTCAACCAAGTGTAAAAGCCTGTTGGTTGCACCATTCATACATTTTCACAGTACGCCATTTGAGGTGGAAAAGTCACAATAATGCAAATGTTAAACCAAGCAGGGTATATTTCTGCATTCAGTTACTCCAGGTCAAAATGGTCAACAAAATTGTAATCTGATAAATAGGTATGTGAAATCAGAGTTGTTAGCATGTTCTGCAACATGTTCGGCTGTCTGACTCAGGTTTCAAAGGCACCGCTCCACTAAGATTAGTTTCAGGCAGGTCAGTGTGAAGTCTGGACAGTGGCCAAAAATAGGTTAGGTTTCTATAATTACTAGGCCAAAACACAAACCGTAATGCTTATTTAGAACAATCTTGAACCAAACCATATACATTACATGCAGCTAAGTCAGTTCTACAACTAATATAATCAATATTCAATCAACAGAGTTCCCTGTGAGGCCAGTAAAAAAGTAACTTGGGAAACTGGAGGAAAGGCACACTACATCTCAACACTAGGTTACAACCTGTGCCGACTGGAGAACACAAAGAGAACGAGTGAAGTAGAAACTCACCCGTCTTCTCTTTGATCTCACAGAGAACGCTGAAGAGGGCTGGCTTCATTCTGTGACAGTTCAGGGCATGCTTCCTGTAAGAGAGAAGAGGGAATAAGAGAGGGAGAGAGCGAGGAGGATTACGATAAACAGACTTCCATCTCAAGTCATTCCATGTCCTCCCCCATAAAACAGGTAGAGGAGCTGTATGTATTATGCATACAGCATTTCAAGAGTGTAGTGGAACACAGCAGGACAGAGCCATGTTGTTTAAAGGCATTTCCAATCGCCAAATGTCTTTGTCAGTGCAGAAACATTCCTGGTGCGTCAATCTGAACTAGCAAGAGTAATGTTGTCATTTGGATGCTTTGCACTGTGGGACAGGTAATGATGCCAAACCTCAAGGTCATCATTACTGAGCACCAGATTCCAGAGTTAATACACAGTAATCTAATTTCTACCTCTTACAGAAAGACTCATTCCATGAAAGTAGATGGTGAGTTGATAGAGAGGATTAGGATTAAGTTGCAATTTTAATTTAATCAGAGATGTTCTCTTTATTGCCAAACGGGCTAATAGCAATTAAAGGAGAAAGGAAAAAACTTCTACAGTTTACAATAATCAAATCAGAACACCTTAGCAACTAAATTTCCTGCTAATACACATGCATGCACTCACACACCCATATAGCTTACTCATGTATTAAAACTTGTAAGACTGGTATAAGTCCCTAATATGACGCTAAATTACTTGACACTGTAGTCTCTAATGGTAACTACTGTACTGACCATGCACGCCAATTACATCAGAGAGAGGGAGTGCATTGGTAGCTGAGGACATATAGAACAGCATTTAAAGTCTGCAATTTTTTTCACATTCAGAAAGGCACACGTAACAAAAACATAACATGTTACTATGTTTACCTTACTAACCATGCACTATATTATACTAAAACTGTGTGTTCCTTTATTGTTCAGATTGTCAGAGGTGTTTATTAACTCTATGGTAACTGTGTGGCCATAGTTTGCGCAGTGCTGTTGTAATATTTCATTACCCTTAATTATTTTCTGTAATTTTAATTACTACTCCTATACACAGAGCAAGCATTTGTTGTGTTCTATGGAGAGGTTTTACGAATCACAACAGGTATCATTTATTGCAAAAACAAGTTTCAGTGGCAACAGCTTTAATATGTAATTGGAAAACTGCAACATACACTTAAAAAACAAAAATAAAACCAGCATGAGGCCTCCATTTCTGATGAGTATGAATTGGAAAACATGAAACAAGAAAAAGCCTGAGGATCACCCTGAAATAAAGCATTTCTTTTCCAAATAGCATTACCAACGACACATTTAAAACAACCACAGATGAATATGATTTGGCTACACCTGACCTCAACACCAATTCCAGTTGTGAATGTCCACTGCAGTATTAATGAGGGGACTATGGGGACTAGCAAATAGTGTGCCTACTGTGTATGCCACGAAAGACTGCCTTTCTGTGAGAATTGAGTTGAGGCAGTAAAGAGTTATACATCTAGCATTAAATATGTCATTTTGTCCACCAATTCTGTCACTGCTGGATTTGAGTTGGGGGGAGGGCTGCCTTCAGCATGGAGGGTATGAGCAGGAGGGGGAGAAGGAGGTGCTCATGCGGTCCTGTACTGACCTGTGCTGGAAGTTGAGTGGCAGGCCACCCCCTGCCATGCCCCCCCCTGCTCTCCCTCCCTCTGTGGGGTCGTCTGATCCACCCCAATGCGCCGGCGATTCCTCTGGCCAGCATCTGAACATATGGCGACAGGGTGAGAGGATGAGGGCGGATGGTGCGCAGGAAGTGTACTCTGCAATACCAAGTTCTTGCGCTGCCCTGACCACTCCCCATCCCAACACACTGCCACCCTGCACGACAAGGGCGTCATGCTCACATGTGAGCTACCTCACACATAAATTTGTAGATCGTGACCAAGGGAAAGATTGATGTGTGGGTGACAAACTTGATCAGAGTTAAGTATGATGTTGATAAATTTGTACATTTTAAGTCATAACTGCTATATACCAGCAAACCGTTTTGTAACCACAGACTGTGTAGTTCTGACATCTGGTTATGTTTTGGCCTTTTACCTGAAGTAAACCTGAGAAGCATATTAGCAAACAGCTCAACGATTGCACACTTCATAGAGCTAGTCTTACAGCTAATGCTAAACTGTTCAGAAGATGAATATTTTATCATCAGAATTGCCTTTATTGATTATGTACATAATATGAGCAGCATCAAGGGTTTGAGCCGTACGTGCCACACATTGCGTATTGTCCACTGAACTGACCGTAGGCTACATTCTTTTTAGTATCAATCCTGCACATATATGGCATGACGAAGACATGCTCTGAGTGGGAGTTTAGATCAATACTAGCGTACAGCAAGGACACCACTGGCACTTCCGAAGCAGCCACACCTTTAATTGGTTTTTCAGAATAGCCTATTAACATCTAATATTAGGCCTGGTACATGATTTCCTACATTATAATAGTTCTTTAAAATCCCCAAAACATACAATTTACATCATTTGATTCACCACAGTACAACCTTTTGTAAATGGCCAGCACAAATCAAAAAGGAAAAAAGATACTGGGGGAAGAAAAAAATAACAGATAACAAGAAATATTCCAAAGCACAAATATTTGCATTTGTCCACAAAATAAGGCCTGATTAAGTCCTCAAACTTGTACTGAAGAAAAGGTAATACCCCAGTGTTCATAGTCTGCTGGTATAGCATCATCCCTCCCCCTCACCACCATCTCATTAATAGAAACTCGATTTGCGGACAGCTGCACTCGCGTACACATTATAGGAGAATTGATTGCACCCAGCACACAATGAAAAGGATGAACACCAGGGAGGGAGGGAGTGAAAGAGGAGTGAATTAATTAAGAGAACCAGGTGGTCAAATGTTGGGTGGAAAATCACTAGCTAATGACACATCACACTGTGGCCACAGTCTTGCAGTGGACGGTTGTCTATTGTTGAAATACTGACGCTTCATCTGAAACTGACCTTATGCTCCTTGAGCCACATGGCAAATGAGTGTGGGTCAGTTGCTCACTGCAGTGCATACACCCCACAATAATAATAGGTAAAAATACACATACATTAAGTGAGGAGTCATAAGAATGAATGATTGCTGTCATCACAGACAGCATTGGGCTGATATGTAATCCTTACCATTACCTTAATTTATCCACTCATTTGCATTTCAATGACTAATGTTATTCCCACTGATTTGATGTTCAGTAGCATTTCAGACACATTTTGTTATAATTAGGCAAATCTAATTTGGCATAGTCTATTAAGTAATATTTGAAAGCTTTAGCAACATGACCAGAACACCTTATTTCACTCAGATAGCCTCCACATAACATGCACTATCTTAGAGCATTTCGTATGTTGACACACTTCCTCGTAGTTTTAATAATTGGTGTAAAGGGGAAATTTGCATCACTAACTTCACATTGTCCTATGAGCCAATTGAAAGATGACAAAAACTCATTAAGTATGTAATATTTATTTTCTTTAAGCAGGGGTTAATGCAAGCCTGAAAAAATATAACTACTGTTGTGTTCTAATAAAACTACCATCCTTTAAAACCTAAAAGAGCCACGCAACACCAATTCAGCAATAAGTTACTGTTAGGCAAGTAACTATATGATTTTTATACGGCTACCATTCTCACAGACTCTATAGGAAGTTTAAACTTTTTAATTCAACACTTCATTAAAAAACCAATTAAGATCAACTTTATCGCCGCATTTCCACCAAGTGAGCATGTTTACAAACTACAGTTTACAATAGAGCTCGGTTTGAAGTAACAAAGAGCCTCCTTTCAAACTACAACAGCACTGTAATGTGGGTGTTCAACTTATTTTGGTTAACTAAATGTATTTGGATTAGCGGCGAATTACAATGTAACTTCAAGTTGCATTAATGTTGCAATTACGTAAAACGTTACCTTACGTGAGCGTTTCACAGAAACACTTGAGTCCTGAAGCAAAAAAAATAAGACACATACAACGCACTTTAGCTTAGCTATCATGTGTGGAAAATGGCTCTTCGCCTGTCTTACCTGGCCTGTGCTTCGTCCAGGCTCTCGTCGGTGATGGCCATTATTTGCTGTAGGATATCCCCTATGTCTTGTTGAGGCTGACCGAGTGACTGCTGTTTCCTAACCGAGTCTGGGTCACCGACATCGGCTTGCTGTAGTCCACCGAGTCCGGTGAGACCCGTCATCATCCTGGTCTGGTCATCCATACTTTCAAAGAAAACTCGCCGTTTTCCTCAGTCAGTCGAAGAATACACACAAATAGCTAGCCTGTTAGCTAGCCAGCAAAGTATTTTCTACGACAAATCATACAACACTTCTTACCGTACCCGACAACAACGACTAGAAAACAGTTAGTGACTGTTGTCATAAAACAGATCGCGCAAACACGCTTTACATTCGCTAGTGTTTGTTTTTTTTTTTTTTTCTCTCTCTCTCTCTTCAAGTCAATAAACGCGGCCAGGCTAACGTTAGCTAACCACCGAGTGAAAAGCAGCTAGGTTAGTAGCCGTAGCCCAGCAGAAGAGCAGCAGCAGGGACACACATGCACAGACTGTGTGAGCTTGCCAACAGCGCCTCGCACATTTTCCAAAGAAAAAAAAATATATATATATATATAAAAACGACCAAATATGACAATAGACGAACGCTCTTGTCTTTAGACGAAACTCGCCAATTTAAAAAAAAAAAAAAAAGAAATAAGACGTGAACAGAGCGACTAGGCTTTCGGACCGTCTAGCTCCAATCAGAGATCTGCTACCAAAACAGACTACGGTTTGCCATTGTTATTGATGTCGCGCGAGTATGTGGGATGCTCTGGGCTGCGCGAGCGGTGTGCGTCGCGTTGACCATTGAACTCGTAGCACCGGAGACAGCGAGCTTACGGGCGGGTTAACCAGTAGACTACTATAGGGAAGATAGAGAGAGAGAGAGAGGGGGAGAGAGAGAGGGAGCTACTAGTGTATATAAAGTTCATTATTATCTGGTGTAAGGTTGGCAGAATGCATACAAACATACATTTTATAACACAGTGGTTCAGACCCTATAACTGCATTATTCCTCCAGGTGACAATGTTCTGCTCCTGCACGGCCTTTACAAATTGATAGCCCTTTACGTCATCAGTATTGCTTGTCCTATTGTGAATGGATTACCGCGTTTTGTTTTCCTTATTTACATCAGGTGAGATCACCTATCTAACGGAATATTTTTTTTTTTAAAACAAAACTTTGAAGTGAATGGTTTTTTTTGTTCTTAATTTAAAGGACTGCGATTGTGTGCTGTTTGAGCTTGTAACAAGCTGTACACACGGCTGTAAACACTGTGTTATAACCAGAGGGATTACCTTGTGTTGTAGATTTGTTTGAGCAAGGGCATAGGTGTATGAGTTTAAAAAGCCACAATAAGCCGAATAAATGGAAATACGTACTGAAAATGATTTGATTTCTTTGTGTCAGTGTCTTTTCACGAGTTTAGCATAAAAGTAAATTCAGTGATACCTATCTGTATGGGTAAATTGTAGCTATTTCAAGAACAATATTCAATATCAAAGCAAAACAGTCCAACCTAAGAATATCATTCTGTCCTAAACCCCTGATGAATGAAACATCCCATCAGTTTTCAGTATGAAAATGTTGACAGCACAGATTGAAAACAAGTGTCCTTGTTTTTTGCAAACTGGGCAATTCTGCTGTAGTTTATCACTCAGATCAGAGAGACAGCTTTCCAAGACGAATGGCTGGCTGAATGGATTTGGAGGAGAGCTGCAGCGAGTCTTGCTGTATACTGAGAAGAGATGATGGGTGTGCATGAGAGAGTAGGACCAAACTGGCAATGGTTTATGCTGACTCTCCACACATCCATCTACTACAATCTGTAGCTAATCAATCTAAAGTTAGAGACAAAAAGAATAGAGAATACAGTGAACCCAACCAGTAATTGTTCTTTGCATGTACATATAGGACAATTTAGGGTTCTTGGTGGTTATGCAAAGCAGTGGATTTTAACCCTTTAAAAAAGTTATCCCTACTACAACCAAACCTCTAATCTTATAAACGTCAGTGTTTAAGTAGAAAATAAAATACCCATATGTAATAGCAAAATGAAGCCTCATTTTCTTTCTTTATAATAATAGTCTACAAACAAGGAACCCGGAGAGCCTGGTCACACCCAAGGCACCTTTATTCAAATATGCACTGCCTCTAAATCAAACATAACTTATGACATGCTGTTTACTAGGGTCACTGAGGTCGTTCAAAAGCAAAAGTTAAAAATTTTAATTGGGTAGCTGCAGGGGTTATCATCTAACCCCAAAGTCAGTCTTTATCACTGTCAAATTGAGACATTCTTTGAAAGTAAAAAGACTATGTCAGTGTCTTTGTAAACTTCTTTGTTTTTATTGTTGGTGATTCAGTTAAGGACCATTTCTGTAAAACTTCTATTCATTTGGATGCTAAGGCTGCCCTCCTCTCACCCCACAAGCATCAAGCCTCATTTTCATCTAAATAAGAATCGATCTCTCCTGCTGTGCACCATCCTCCCTTACTCACAACTCTCACAACCCTGCTTGTCTTCTCTTTGCATGTCCCTGTGCTCTCTAGTCACTCGCTTCAATACAATCACAAGGAAAATTCACTGTAGTCCATGTTGGAGATCATATCAGCAGAGAACAAGAAGTCATTTACTCTCATTTATCATTGACAATGGGGTAAGAGGGCTTTCTTCTTGCTGCACTCTTAAGAGAAACAAATTAAGTATGAACATTAATGAGTGAATAGGTCTAAAAGATAGAAGTGATGGCTAACAAAGCTTTGACTGACTGGTACAATGTCAAAGCTTCGTTCTGCATCAGTGACCCAGCCAAATGCAAGAGATGGGGTGAGTCACTGTGGGGGAGGGGCCTCCTCCTGAATGGTCAGGGGACACTGATGAAGTGAAATAGATGCGGCACCAAAAAGCAAGTAAATGTAACTGAGGATGAGGATTTAAGGACTGTACGTAAATTAAAGACCAGACAAACTACAGAGCAGAATCTCTCTGTATTCAAACTCATTTTGCTTTATAATATTTATATTTAATTCTTTCCTGTTCCAGAAAAATTGCTAAATTTCTTCAAAGGTTTAATGACCCTTTTTTCGAAAATTACTCTACGTATACAAACAGTGTATTGCTACTCTTTGCAAAGTCACTATTGCAGATATTTATAGTAGTAATCAAACCACATAAAAACATCAATACATCCCATGACTTCAAATTGAGGCCATTTCATAGACACACTTAATTTGATTTCCAATAGTCAATATATTTCGATATTTTAAGACAACAGATCACTTTAGACAGGTTAATAGTTCCAAGAGATGCAGGATTTTTTTTTTTCAGTGTTTATGCAGAATAATCAAGTTTTTTTTAAACATATTGGCAACAATTTCTAAAATATTTGTCTGTTCCTTAATTTCTAACAGCTGGCAATCTTGATTTAAAAGTCTCAGGTTTCACAGGTGAGAATACGCTTAATTAAGGCTTAACAGAAAAATCCACTCTGGCCATTCATGGAGCTTGTTACAAATTTGTATAGCCAGCCACTGCCACCTGCTGGTCAAACACATGGATTACCCGAACTAGCTCCATTACCAATCCTGTTGCTGATGGAAATGGTTTTATTTGACAAAGAAACATAAACTTAGAGCTTACTTTATGTTTAAAACAAGACAAGAAAGATAGATCAAAGAAATTATAGTTTTCCAAATCACATAACAATAAAAATATCAGAAAGAACACATACAGTATATGAGCTTTATATTCAAGTCATAAAGAGCCATGGTCCATTAACTGATTGATTGCTTGTGCTTGCCTCCTGCCAGAGGGACTATGTAGTTGCAGAGGATAAAGGTGCTCCCATAAGGATCCTGATGAGGTCAGGTGAAAGATCCTGAAATCCTGCCTCTGCCGCTGGTAGGAAAAAGTAACCAGATTAAACGTTAAATCGCCACATCAATATTGATTTAATTGAATTATTCCATAGAAAACATGAAAGACAAATTAAGTCATTACCCAAGCGGCCACTGGTCTCTTTCACCAATAACTGTGACTGCTCCTTGATGGACAGAAGCTCTCTAACCATCTTGCACTGAGTGTCCATCTACATAAAGAAAGTAATAGAATAACTGATTACATAATATAGCATAAATGGCTGGTGACCCACATTCTGCAGCGGCCCAAGTTTGAATCCGACCTGCGGCCCTTTGCTGCGTGTTATCATCTTCAGCTGTCTCTGTCAAATAAAGGCATAAAATAAAACTTAAAAAAATAATAATATAGCATAACATTTGGTAAATGGTAAATGGACCTGTACTTGTATAGCGCCTTTCTAGTCTTCCAACCACTCAAAGCGCTTTTACACTACGTGCCACATTCACCCTTTCACACACATTCACTCAGTGATGGCAAAGTCCATCGAACAGATGTTAATTGTGCAGAGAAGTATAGGTGATGCCCCAGTTATATTATCTCACATAGACTTTGTTATCATTATCTAACCAATTCAATTGTGATTGTTTGATCAGATAAGTTGAATATGAAGTTATTTAATTTATTGACACTGTCACCGCCCCCCAAAAGAGTAACATACTCCTTTCTCTTTCTTGTGAACAGCATTTAAGCTGCCCATAAAATCAGAAGCATCTGCTTTATGCTTCATCACTCTCAGAGCCAAGTAGAACTTCCTCCATTTTTCCCCTTGCCAACTGTAGTATTTTACCATACGCCACAGTACAGATGGCATATATACGAATGATACAGTGATTTAAAGACATTTTTGTAATGATAGAAAAATATAAACATACAATCATTGCCATAGTGTGAAACATTGGCTGTTGTCTACAGAGGAGACCGTGGTAGTCCGGTTTATTCTGTATGATATGGTACTGTGAGGACTGAGCCACAGATGTAGAGTCCAATGATACACCCCCCTCCTGGCCTTGCTCCACTTTCCTGCAACAGATAAAACAACACATTATTGACACACAATTGAGAAGACAATATTGACTTACTCTAACACAGTATTGCGTTAATATTCCTTAGTGACAGTAGACATGTTCACCTTTCCAATTCTTCTGCTTTACTCCGGTGTTTGTTCAACAGTGCCTCCCAAGATTCACTTTCAGCCTGGAGCCTAAAACACACAAGAAGAAGAAGAAATATACTTTGTTAATCCCCTATTGGGGAAATTCTTCTTTTCACTCTTTTTTATTCTTATACACACACACAAAGTGAGCAGTTTCTTGGGATTAGGTTGCCTTGCTCAAGGGCACCTCGGCAGTGCACAGGAGGTGAAACTGGCACCTCTCCAGCTACCAGTCCACACTCCATATTGTGGTCTGTGGGACTTGATTCAAGCCAAGACTGAGCTACTGCCGCCCCCAATATATACACATACATACATATATATATATACATAGGCCAGTAAATAAATGTATCTCATGTGATAGGTCACACTATCTGTGTTTTGTTTTTCATTTGAATGTATGGTTTGTATAAATACTTTGTGTGTGCTATAGTACTATTAAGAACAACATGCCTTTTGATGGCTTTCTGGACTTTTGCCATGGCTCTTAGCACTGCAGGATCACTAGAACGGAAAGAAAATAACAGAGACATAAATGCAATACGAAATGACAATTGGTTGGCAAGACAACCAAACAAGAATATAATAAACACAGAGAACTGAATAAATAAAATAAAACTGCTACAATACCTGGCTGCACTAGCAGGGACTTGATGACCCTGTGGTTCGCTGCGTATGCTATTGGCCAAACAACCCCACTCTTTCTGTATGCGCTCAACTGCAACAAGGAAGACACACAACACAGACAAAGAAATAACTTAAACTGAATATTTCTATGACCGCCATTCAGCTACAATAAAGGAGCTCCAAGAAACATGTACCAAATGAAGTAGTGCCAGCACTAACCTTGTTTTTGAAAAGACTCCAGTGAGGTTTTTGGCACTGATTGCAGGTTATTTTGAGTTCTTTCTATTGCCAGCTAGAGATAAAATAGAGATGATTAGACAGAGATCCATTAGGAATTTTAGTTAAGACTAATTCAAATTAACTGTATACTCCCCTGTAACCTAACGCAACCAAGACCCTTAGAGTCAACCTCACGAGTACTTTATTAGGACATCTCCTGAATAAAACCATAAAACTTGAGACGTCTCTAAAGTTCTGGGTTTCAATTTCAGTGAATCTCACACTTTGTACTTATAACATCACTTTTATTACAATGCAAAATCTCTAGTTATTACTTGAAATTGAATAAGTGTTTTTAATGTTTCTCTGCTGTCAGTACCAGAGTGCAAGCACATTTATTTGTTAAACAGCTGGTTCCTTGTTTAATCCATCATCTTTCCAAATATTTTTAGTCAAGTGAAAAAAGGATCTTCATCTCAAACAGTGAAATAAAAAGTAACCTACTGTGCCTGTTTATTTAATTTAATCACATTTCCAGCTAAGATTGTCACAATTAATTTACTATTATCCACTCACCCTCATTGAAGCCTCCATCAGTTTCTCGAGCCTCTCTTTCTGTGATAAGGATACACTTATGCCCCTGCATAAAACTACAATAAACACATAAACAGGTATTCATATTGCAAAAAAACAAAACAACACCCAATGATCATTCTTTACTGATTACAAGAGGCAACAAGGGAAATATATCCTACCCTGATATGGGTTAGGAAGGACAGGGAGAGAGCGTCGGGTTATGGTGGCTCTCCTCCAGGATTTCCTCCGTGCAGTGGGGCTAACAGTGAGACTTGAAGGCCCCTCTGTGTTTTCTGTCAGCATTTCTTGTTTGTCTGTCTCTGAATGTCCTTCCCCTGCATCTGACATCTGTGTGGTGGATGATGTGAAGTCGGTACGAGGAGATTTGTGTGGGGGAGCTGTGCTGGGGCTTGTGGAGGAGCATCTTTTTGATTTCTGTTTCACAGAGTGGACCTTGGTTTATAGAGATTGAACACAGCGCAAAGTAGCAGTGACACTTTAGCACAGATAGCGCCTGGATACACGATTAGCTCAGGCGTTGTTAGATAGCTAACTTCAATGTCAGTTAAAATGCATTACCTCACTTTGGGTATCAGCAACGACGACACTTCCGAAACTGAACAGGAAAAAAAATTAAAATTAAATGAACCAACTACTGTTACTCGCTACAAAACATTCTCCAAATGTCCAAAATACAAGGTTTTACTGATACGTTCATATTAACGCGCAGTAACACTTAGTGTTTAACACCGTAGTCAACAACAATGATTTGCTTTGGACAAAACTCAGATAAGGAACAAGTTATCGTTGGCTTTACTATATTCTCTCAAAACCAATGCAAGTTTTAAAATCGTTGTCGGTTGTCGCATAAGTAACACTTTTAGTTTTTATTTGAAAAAAAAACAGGATACAAACCCTTCTTCTCCTCCAGCTTCGAAATGTTTTTCCGCCATTTTTTCGTTCAAATGGTTTTCTTCACAGCGCGCGCCCAACAAGCCGAACCCCCTTTCCTGAAGCACCATGGGAAATGTAGTGTGATTGTGACACTTTTTGTTTTGTTTTGTTAAGATGTTCCAGTTTTACTTCCAGTGTTGACATATTTAGGCTGGATGTGACCTTTATGTGGCTGTCATCTACTAGGGGTTGCATGATGTATCCATATATTTTCTACTTCATACACCTTTTAAATTACAGGGCATGTGTATGCCAACATGTGCAGTTTAAAACATACTCAAAGGGAAACAAACTTCCTGGGGTACCATTTCCATCCCAAGATTTTACAAATTAAAGATCTTAAAGTGGAAAATAATATGCCTAGGAATACATTTTAAAGACAGTCGTTTAGAAATCACTTACAGGCTGTAATGGCAGATGTTTTCTGTAGAGAGGTGGCTTTGGTGCCAAAGGAATCCAGTCCTTTAGTATTGAAACCTCCCCTGGATCAAATTAAGAGCAAGCACTGACATCCTAGTTTAAAGGGGTCAACCCTGGCCCTGATCCTCTTTGTACACACAGGATTTCTGATAGCCTGTCTAGCTGAAGAGTTTTCTGATGCTTTGCTCCACAGAGTTTAAGACCTTGTGTTCAATGTCAACAACTTTGATCTCCTTCATGGAATTTCCCAACCATTGACTATTTCTTGTAGTTTAATTTTTTTTTTTTTTTTTTGCAATATAGCAGTGTTATCTGCAGAGAGTGTAAGATCTCATTTCAGTTGCTGCGATTACTCTTTGCACATCCTCTAATCTCCAACGTTATGGCTCCAGCATTGCTCTGAGAGGTATCCTAGTCTGTACATCGAATATACGGTATTCCCTGACCCCTGAATGAGAGAGGTTTACATAGATGGACACAAAGCAAATATACATTTGTCTACTAGTTACAGTATAAAACACATTCAACAAAGCTCTATTTCTTTTTTTTTTAACTGTAAAAGGCATTGAAAATTGGATGATTAATAATAGGAAATGTCCCTGATTAGTGTGTCAATTCTTCTTATGGTTGTTTCTAATAGCCGAAATGGTCTTTGGGGACCCTATCATATTAATCACTGTATAAATTGGACAATGACAAAATTGCCACACACCATTTTTTGTCTAAAAGCCTCTTGTCAGTGTCAGCCTCTTTCTATTAATCATGCAGAAAATAGCAGCCCCAGCAGCTGTTTATGAGAGGCTTTTTCACAGAAAAACTACTTTGACAGCCTTTGGGTTGTCATAAACAAATCAGTGGGTTAACTGATGCAATTCGGGTCATTAAAAGCCCCCTTAACAACTCTATAGTTCTTGAATGCCTGGTACAGTACTTGATTCACAATGCATGAAATAAGAGAGACAAGTGGTAAATATCTTTTTAAGGGAGCTGCTTTGCTAGTTTGTTCATCAAACCAATGTTTTTGTAAATTCATATAAAAGATAAATAGCAAACAATGTGGTAGGGTAGTTAAGCTCAGTTGGTAAGTAAACACAAAGCTTCCATTCTTTCCTTCGAGATGAGATGGAACGTTTGTTCTGCTCAGCGTCGTGTGTCCAATTAGATAAATGGTTTCATTGGATGAATTTCTTTCTTTGTACAGTTTCACTATATTTTCATACCCTTCTCATTACTCACCTATTTCTGGGAACAGGATAGTTCATGACCAGCTGGACATGCTCATCCTTTTCATGTGTTGACACTTCCGTACTTGACAAAACACTTGACAGACTTCATAATTTGTATCAGTAAGTCTTTATAAGTCTGTTAGAGATGTTTTTCACTTTTTACAAAATCAAGGAGAAGAATCAAAAAAATCAAAAACACTTTTGCAATTCTCTTGGAGAATGCCCCTTTTGTGTGCCAGTATGTTTCACTCTGGGTGGCACACAGTCTCGCACTCCACTCAATACTGCTGTCTTCATGGCCTTGTGTAGCAGTGGGGAGGGACAGATGAGGAAAGAGAGAGATGTAGAAAACAAATCAAGAGTTATGAAGAAAACAGAAAGAGAATTGAAACAGAGCTGATGGAAATACAGAAACACAGATGGTTAGGGGGGGCAGAGCAGGACGAAGGAAGGGATACACGGAGTGTACAGTACTGCACGCCATGACTGTCTCAGCCGTCTTTTGTAAGTCACAACAGCTTTAATTCTCATCCTCCTCCAAAGTCTTCTCTCCCTTTACAGTTTGGTTGATAAGGGCATCGGTCACTCTTGGCACTGAGTTCAAGAAGGCAGCCTGAGAGTTCCTTTGCCCAACAGGAACTGCAGGACACGGTCCACCAGCAGAGCAAGAATAAAGTCCACCACGAGAACCTGGGCAATGATTAATTTGAACTGCAAGGAAGTAAACAAGAAGCAGGTTACCTCATAGCATACATCATAATTACAACAAATCAATACATGGTAGAATAATGTCAGCTCACCTCTGTTGGAATATCTACAAGAGCAAACTGTTCGTTGAATTCTGGTGATGAACCCGTGAGAAGTCCTACAATCGCTAAACCTGACAGAGCGATACTCCATAGTAGTGGTCTATTCTCGCTGAGAGACTCCATGAACGGGTGACCCTTTTGAACACAACAAGAAATGAAGTGAGTATTATACTACAAAGAGTACAAATTAATTAATTAATTAAGAATAAGTACCTTGTAGTTAATGGCAAAGGTGGCCATCTGCATGGCCATGGACATTATATACACGGTGCTGTTGATTAGACTGGGTTCGAACTCTTTATAAAGATCTACAAACTGGTCCTCTCTGCAAGAGAGACAGAACAAGTGAATTGTTATTATAATGTATTATTGTAATGGTATTCATGTAAATATTTAACTTATAGCAGAACTGCAGTTTATTCCCTATTTATGTCTTCCTGTGATTTACCTGGGCGGACTTCTGGTTTGTGCCTCTTTGTAAAGGTACACCAAACTACAGAAGTGAACAGCAAACTGCAGCAGCACAGTCAACACCGTATAAAGATTGAAGATGTTTGGTAAGGGCCGCTCTTGAGACAACGTTTTCAGTGGCTGTGTAAATAGAAGAAAAACATTAATTTGGTCTCTGCTTACCTTGCTAGGAGAACCAATCAGAAAACATGTAGAGCCTTCTCGCTTACAAAAATTCTCACCTTTGATCTGGAGATGAAGAGAAAGCATCCGGCCAAGAGAAGGCCTTGTAGGGTCGCCTGGAAATCACTGAACTTGACCCCTTCGAGGTAAAGCACAGACTGGCTGTAGGCCAGCACCAGGGCGTTGAGAGCGAGGATCTTGAACATTTGGAGTGTTGTCACCAAAGTGCAACGGCCTTGCTTTATTACATGGCAGACTGGGGGAAAGGACAAAGCTAGTTTCAGAGGTGGGGAGCAGCTTTATGTTCTTATCTCTGACAACTAGTGTTACTCACTGCACTGTATGGAGGAGAGTTTGGAGGTGAAGGGGGCAGCGATGGAGGCATCACCCAGTTTCACTACTTGTAACTGATCCTCTTCAAGTTCCCGTAAGACTTGACTGATCCTCTCCTGTTACAGATTAAACCCTGATGTTTAGACTGGTGCACTATAACACTATCATTTCAAAGAAAGGCCTTGTGAACATAAATGAGTTTTAGTTGCTGTACAAAGCAAAAAAAATGAATTACATTTTTAAACCATTCCCATAAGTATCAGTAAGAAGGCTCTTCCAAGACACACACCTTTTGTGCTGCAAGCTGCTCTTCTCTCTGGGCCATCACCCTCTGCCTGGCTGCCCTGGAGCTCAGTTTGCCTCCTGAACTGACAGGTGGTATAGGTCTGGATTCTGCTGCGGTGGCCTCCTTTTCTCTACCCCGTTTCTTTCTTTCAGGCATGCGTTCAGGTGCGTTGGCTAACAGAGCAACACCTGAGGAAAAACTATCATCACTACACACTGTTGGGGTCACACATAGAGAGACATGTTTCCAAGTCTGGGTGGTTAATAAATCTTACCTATGTGGGCGTGTTTGAGAGCTCCAACATCATTTGTGCCATCCCCACACATTAGTGTCACATAACCCAGCCCCTTTAGACTTGTGATGACAAATTCCTGAAATAGAACAAACAATCATCTTTATAGCTGATGACTTCCCAGAGTTTGTAATTGAGTGGTGTCCCTTAGTTAAAATGCTTGTCTAAACTGTATCAACTGTGCTTTGTCTGTGATGAAGGAAAAAACTGACATTGACTATTGATATTGATGTTTGAGATAGATAACAAAAAAAAATGTTAAGCTAACTCCATGGCTGTAGGAAGAAAACACACCATCACACACTAAATGGGACCCAGAAACGCAGTGTCTGTTACTAATTGTTGATTTAGAGTGAGCATTTCATTAAAAACTACAAAATACATAACTTTCAAGGGACTTGTGATTTGTGACTAACCTTCTGTTTTGGACTGACACGGGCAAACACTTGTATGTGAGGCAAGAGGGCGTGGAGTAGCCGGGGATCGCAGCTCAGTCTGACCAGCCCCTCCCCTGTTACACACAAATCAAACTGATGCACGAATGCGGAAACGGAGGGAGGGGGCAGTGGTACACACACGCTGCCATCAATGGACTCCCACTGCCACTCACCTGGAAAACCAAAAAAAAAAAAAATCAGGTACTTGATTCTGCACATTGTCAATCTCCTCAATCAAAACACCCACTACAAATAGATTACTACAATCATCTTTATGCCCTTTAGCTACAACCTTTATTACTGACATTGTTAGTCTACTGGCTTACTTGAGTAATAGATGTAATTCTGTAAAGTGATGACTTGTCTTACCCTGACCAGGGCCTGGCTGCAATACAAGTGTGTGTTCTTTCTGGATGAAGTGGAGCTCTCTTGCTACATGGCACGCTGTTAGAGGGTTGTCGCCTGTGATCATCACGACCTGAAAGCAGAGTGAGAGGAATTATATAACTTAAAACCATTCTATTCCAGTACGTGTGCACAATTGTGTGTTGCCAGCTTATTTACATGATGAGATGCTTCCTGGATTTCTCTGATGACAGCCTTGCTGTCACTCTTGAGGGGGCAGGACACAACCATGAACCCGGCGAAATGCAAGTCACATTCCAGAGCATCGCGACTCATCTCCCGGACCTATGAGACCCAAAAAGATCCAGCTCAGTTTCTAACAAAATGTATTCTTCTCAGACAGATCATACAATCTCTTTTGTTTTGAGTAAAATGAAATAAAAACCTGTTGATGACTAAGGTGTCCCATCTCTTTGTATCCCAAAGCCAGCACTCTTGCCCCTTCCCGAGACATTTCCTTGTGGACTTCGTCATAACTTGCTGGACAGTCTGCAAACTACAATCACAGCCACATCAGAATACCAGTAGGTACACTTAATTGGGACAGAGCATGTATGTATTAAGGGCAGTGTCCATATATACCATTCCTCTGAGTGTCTCTGGAGCTCCCTTGACAGTTGAGATGTAGCAGAGTTCAGTGGAGCCCAGTTTCTCATAGGAGGCTAGGACCGACATCCTCTTCAATGCACTGGCAAAGTGAAAACGCTGGTGGATCTTAAGTCCCTGGGTTTTGATGCCTCGTGCGAACACCTTTTCATCTGGTCAAAGAGGCAAGAGTCAATGAGGCAAAGGATTAAACAAAGGTCCCCAAATAATAACACTGACGTTACAGTGCATTTGAAGAACAGAATCAAATTAGATGAACTAGTCAAATTACACCGCCAAGCTGAACAGGTTTGGTGAAAAAACGGGACACATGGCTTTATGTAACACAAACATGAGCATACACACGTTCTCACACACACACATGCCACTGCCATGCACTGTGGATTTGGTGGGGGTAATTTCTCTGTACCTTTAGTGAGAGTCCAGTCAGCAGCAGTCAGCATGGCCTTCTCTAGTGGATCTCCGACAAGCTGTCCATCATCCAGAGTGACCAGTGAGTGACAGGTGGCCACCACCCGATGTGTCTCAACTGGGATCTCAGATACGGGCATCACCTCCTTTCCTTCTCTGTCATAAATGCAAACATCAGTTGACAGGCTCCACAGAGTACACATGTATGTAAATGTTAAAGTAAAACACTAAGAATTATGGGCAGGTTTTACCTGAGGCCTGCTACTCCTCGTACCACCAGACTGTCACTGGTTAGTGTTCCTGTTTTGTCAAAACAGCAAACCTCTACTTTCCCTGCAAATGGTATCCTGAAGGGCTCTGTACAGAATACATCTAGGCAGGGGCAGAAAAAGAAGACTCGAATGAACCACTGCTGTACAGGCTTTGTATTATAAGCTACTTTGCCCAGGTCTCTTAAAATATATTAAAAACACATGGAGGACACACAGACATACAAAGTTTAGCCAGGGCGATAAGAGATGTGTTAACTGCCAGAGAAAGCTCTATGGGGAGTTCTGGTGGAACCACTGAGGTGAGGATTAGTGTGCACTCCAGAAACAGCTTGTAGCGGTTCCTGCTGGCATCCTTGGTCCCTGAGGGAGTAATACAAAGCACAAAAATAGTATTTAGATATTACTTGCCGTCTCCTCCAGCTATTAGCTAACACCTTGGCTATGATAATGTCAGTGTTATTGTTAAAGCTCCAGTGTGCAACATTTAGAAGGATCTGTTGGCAGAAATGGAATATAATATTCAGAGGTATGTTTTCATTAGTGTATAATCACCTGAAAATAAGAACTGTTGCTGCAACTACACTGCTAGATGCCACTAAATCTTACTCACTGGTCCTTTAAATAAGAATTACATCTCAGTGAATGGATTCTGTGCACCTCACCTTCGACCCACACATAAACAGCTGCAGCAATGGCAAAAACAAGGAGGAAGAGGATGAAGATAAAAGTCTCCAGGTTGTTTGCCGTCACTCTCTTCACACCGAAGAGGATGGTCCGTAACAGTTTTCCCTGGAGGCACAACAAAAAAATGTACAAACAATCACAACACTTCAGATGACAGCTGACTCAACATGTCTTATGCTGACATGCCGCCAAAAGAAGAATTAAATGACAAGAAAAAAGGAAGGTAGTAGTATAAACATACGAAGCAACTTCCTCACCTGAGACGTGTAGAATCCGGTTCTCAGTACATAGGCCACACACCCATTATCTACAGCTGCACATACATGAGAAGATTTATTATTTATTAGCTTGCACATTGTTTTGATGAAGATGGGTGGCAGATGAACTTTTATTCACTGACTGACATAACAGCCAGTATATGTTGTTGGTAACAAATGAAGTGAGGAATTAGCTCTTACGTTTGAGTCCAGCACTGGCCTTTAAAGGGGGGCTATGTTGGACCACTTTTGTCCCCCCAGAGATGATGTGGAGTCGAGAGTCTGTCTGAAGGTCCATGATTCGCTCTGGGTCCAAGTCCTCCACTGGCTCCTGCACACGTCATATTGTCAGCAGTAATTAAGATACCCCCAAAATAATCCCACATCATTTAGAATAATTGAGTCTTACACTTAAAAGTCTATGCCCTCAGATGAGTATAGCATTATCATTTCTATATGAGTTTGTCTCTAACCTTCATCTGGGGCACAGACTCCCCGGTCAGCATGGCCTCATCCACAATGCATCGGCCCCTGAGTAGCAGCACATCACACGGTACCAAGTTGTCCTGGGGCGAACGTCCTGTGAGGCAGATTTGCACATTTTAAACAAATGCTAGTCAATCTGATATTTGTGGTGAGAAGTTCTAAAAACGTTGACGGGACATTTACCTATTGAGACGATGTCACCAGGGACAAGCTCATCACTGGAAATAGGTCTCCACTTCCTATTGCGATAAACCTGGCACAAATTGCATAAAATACATTTTGGATGCGTTAAATACATAGGAAATATACTGTAGATAACGAATTTTGAGATGCAAGACAAAATGTTTGTTTATAACTTTAACTGAAATTTGATCAAGCCTACCTGGATCATGTAGGGCTTGTTACCCATACGGCGGATCTCAGACATATTCCTCATTTGCTGCTGGACAAGGGAGGCCTCGAATGCCACCAGCATGAACAGTGTGAAAACACTGTAGTACCAGTACTCATCCAGACACCACAGCCCCACACAGAACACCTGGTGGATGGCAGACAATAGATAACTTTACATGGATACAGACACTAAGACCAGGTGAACAACATCATTATAAGAAGTATAAAGACCATTTTTACAACAAAACCAGGCAAATTATCAAGACACACCCTCACACACATACCTGGAAAACAAAAAAGGGAGCTGTGGCCCTCTCTTTGAAGAGCTCCAGGAAATCTGGCACCATCATCTCAGCACGATTGGTGCCGTAGTGCTTCTCTGCTGCTCTGAGTTCGGTCTCCTCCTGGTAGCCACGCCAGGACTGAAAGTGGCCCATTGGGTGGTTTATGGGAAATGCTATTGGAAGGAAACATTTCTTCTCTTTGTGGTCAAATGTGTAGCGGATCTTTTGAAACTCAAAAGATAGAATCCGCTCCCCGTTCTCATCCTATCGGTCAGAACAAGGGAAAGAAAGGCAAATTGATATTTTCTTAGGTTTTGCCGTGTGTGAGATGATCTGTGACATGTTTCCAATTAAGTCAACCTAAAGCATCTTCAGAGTTAACACGTGAACTGACCTGGTCCCTTTGTAGTGCCACAAGCTCAGCAAAACCGTTGTTGGGGGTGGGTATGACCTTTGCCAGCGTGGCCTTGTTTGGGTCTGGCTCCTGTGTATACAAATGAACAGGTGACAAATTCACACACTGTGGCAAGTCAGTGTTATTTTTGTATAGCTGTCTGCCTCTGGAGCTTTGTCCTTCTCAAATGATACATGCCCTGGCACACAGGTGCTTTATCAATATGAAGTTCAGGCACATTCTTCCTTAAATTTGTCCTTCACTTTAACATTTGACCACAAATATTGTACCCGATAATGTTGTTGATATAAATCTATTATTACATTTTTATTGGATTTAGACTTTCTTTTACAGTTTACTAAGTAAACTCACAGAAATGCTGAGCAGCATGTCAATTACCAGTCGTCTATCACTGTAACGTTATTGTGGTATTATTGTTGATATTGTGTCATGAAACTATTTTCTCTTTAAATTGGCAATACAAAGCCACTAATACTGATGTCCTCAATAGTCAATTATTTTGACTTCCACTTCCAATAACCATCTGATGAATCACAGCTAGAAACTAGACAGGTGTTTTTCTATCCTAAAGAGACAGTATTATATATCAATCAGCAGTCTGTCTTTAGGGATGTATAATATATTTTTTTCTCTACTGAAACGTGCTTGAAGACAGTGTAATGTACAAGATCAATCGGTGCTTGGCAGAAAGAAAATGTAGCAATAATCTTCCAATGTCTTTGTCTTTAAATAAAACAACCATGGGCATCATGTCCACAGGTCCTGAGAAACTGTCCTTCAAACAAAGATGAAACTGTGGCACTGAGGTTTGAAAGTGCTCTTTCAATGCAATTGCTAACTCAAAGGAAGGTTTGATCATTTTTGTGTTGCTGTGGCTATAGAGGACATCCGATAAGCAGTAACCGGGGTTCAAGCCAAACACCTGCCCTGCTGTAGTGCCTTTGAGCAAGAAATTGATTTCGTACCTGCCCTCTGGGTTCAAATCCCAACCTTAAAGCTCTGTGTACAGGGTATTTCTAAAAGCAGAGGGCTCCCTAGAGCTGTCAGTAGAATATCGCACTATTATTGTTGTTATAACTAATATTTACCTTGGAACAAGTGAGCCAACAGTGCGCATGCACGGACCAATAACCAGAGAGGGTTGTGAGGACGTGCGCGATCCCGATAGCGGCTAACGCCAGGAGGCCTGCCTCCGGATACTCGGAGGCACCGTAAACTCCTAACCACACGTACAGCCAGCCCGGGTAGAGAACAACCAGAAACGGGAGGACAGTGCCGTGTAGCAGCCGGGGCCTTCGCCTGTACAGAGTCACCGAGCTCACCAGCTCGTCGCCGGTGCCGCTGTCATGCTGGTTGTGGTTAACAGAGGGGGCCATTTGCAGCTCACCCGGTTGCCGGATCCCGTCTGCAGCCATAGTCCCCTCTTTCTCGGCGTCGTTCATTGTACTGTGCGCACTCCTCTGGCCCCCTCAATCATCCACCACTACCCGGTCGTGCTGTAGCCGGTAAAAATACGTTTCTACGTACGGAGTGGCGCTCGGTCCAGCCTTCAGAGCCCGTTTACTGAATCACTCGTTCTGACTGCGACTTCCGCATACGTAAACACGCAAATGCACGTAATGTTTCCTTGGCACAGCGTGATTGAACCATGGATTGAACCGAAAAAACAAAATAGATATTATCTTTTACACAGTTAAATTGTGTTGTTTTGGTTAAACGGCATATAACATATGAATAAAGGGATTTCTTTGACAAAACGTGAACTGTAGTTGTTGTTTAATGCTTTAATTGTGTTATGAAGTAGATACCCCTTTAAGGAATTCATTGTCATTTTGGGGGCGTGGCCAGAGTGTGAGATTGACACAAATCTGAACCAATTATGTCACAATATTGTATCGTCATCCAATCAGATAGTAGGGGACGTGTGAGGTGTCGTCTCCGCACAGACATGGCTCCACATGTAGAAATACTGGCGCTATATAACCTTGATTGATCAGCTTCCTCCTTTGAAACAAGCCTGAAAGAGCAACATGTAAGACATTTAAATATGGCTCGTATCATTACATTTACTGTGTTCTCTAGTCTGGATATACAGTTAGACTGTAATCAAAGACATGCTACCTTGTGAATCAGGTTGCATTCAACTACTTTACTCCGTTTACTATATTCCTTGTAGTTTTTTATCGCAAGTTTATACATTGGACTTAATCACGGACTGATTTACATTTATCTGTTACCTTTCAGGCAGGCTGCTATGGATATCACGGCAAAGTATTGCCATAAAGAAATGGAGGCATATGGGTCATGTGTGGCCTCCAACCCATCAACATGGCAGCAAAAGTGTCATGAACTGAAGATGAAGGTTGCACAGTGCACATCATCACAGTAAGGCAGCATACTCTCACTCCCATTTGACTCCAACATCCTCACGCCCACATTTTCACATATTGCACACATTTGTATCGAACCCCTACATTTGTTTTGATAGCCCAGTGATCCAGAAGATCAGACAGGACTGTACCAGTGAGTTTGTGGAGTTTGAGCGCTGTCTGAGGGAAAACCAGGACAAACCTACCTCCTGCTCACCACATGTGGCTCGCTTTCTGGGCTGTGCAGAAACTGTAGATATCAGTGGAGTGGGTAAGTCCTTGCTGGAATAGGCCATGCACAACTCAAGGTCACATAGAAACCGTTGAATGAATACCAGTGATTAAAACTTAAGAGATAAGAATGTGCAGATTATCCTCTCTTGAAGAAGCAGGGGTCTGTGTATGGTTATTCAGATGTAGTGAAGTCTTGTACTGGGCATCTTTAGAAACTGTGATACAAAAACACACCCATGTCTACAAATGGGACTAATACTGCACCACCTTTTCAGAAGGTTTCAGTTTAATAATCAACATACCAATATATTATAACTTTTTGCTGAGCGAACCTGAGGAAGCTGCAAGTGAAATACATTGTTGGCTCTTAAATAAATCACAGTAAAGTCACTCCAGTGTGCGGTGGATAATTCAGATTTTTTAAATACCAATAAATTCCTTTTCTTTTCTTTTCTCAGCTTCAGATCCGGTACCTCAGCCATCGTAGCATTCAGACATCTTCAGTCACCTTCAGATTACTCCTGTCTCCACAGCAGCACATATGTGCTGGTTTCACATGTTACTGTATGTACAGTGACTGAGAGGATATTGTTTTTTTTTCTTTGTGTGACTATTTGTCTTTCTTCAACAAGGATATAGGAAATGAATGCAACAGTACTGTGAGTTAGACTAGTTGTGTAGAATATTTCATTACTGAATTGTTCTTTTACACGTCATGTAAATGTTGTGTTCATGTGAAAGTAACATTTATAATTGCCTGTGTGCGAGGAAGTCTGTTTTTTACAGATTTTTATTGAACCATCTTATTAAAATTGACATCAGACTTGTGTTATTCATCCGGTGTGGGCATCCTATTGTTTTATGTTGCTTATGTCTGTCCCTCCCACCCTCGCCCTCTCCAGGTCTGAGTCAAAGTCAAATATTAAACTGGAATATAATGCTCCCACACAAACTCTCCTGAATACTCAATGACTAAGAAATAGGGAGTCTGGGAAGAAAGGAAGGAGAAGGAGGAAGCTGTCTACTTCTAATCAGCAGGACTACAGAGAGAGACAGAGGGAGGATGTTGAGTTATGAGCCCTGTGACCACTAAGCAGAACGGACCCTTTCTGGTTCAGTTATTAAAGCTTAGAAGGGGGTAATGGAGGAGAAAAGGATTAATTTCTTTTCAAGTGTAATATCTTCCATTTAGATGAGATGAGAAAGTGATCAGTGCATCATCATTTGTCATATTTAGGACAATAAGGCAAGCACACTCCAAATATGAAATTGCAGATTGTATTGAAGATACGGCAACATTACATTCAAAGCACATCACCTGGCAGTCACTGAACAAAAAAAGTAAGATAGGAACTCGCCTAATACCGCACAAATAAGTTACATTCACAAAAATATCACTGTAAAAATACCATGAGTCAGTGATCAGAGTCAAACATAATGTCATGAAATAATGTCACAAGCTGTAGCCGATCACTGGCACCTAAATGAAACAAGTATCACCATAATCCTATTTTATTCTGCACCACATTGTCAGTCTGATCCTGATGCTTTCTGCAACACTTGCTATTCAACTTAGTTTGGAGGCTATTCCTTTAGACCTACTTTGTGACACATAAATATCATGCTACAGTTTAAATATTTGCAGATTATCACAGAAGAAGGTACAAAATATCTACCTAACAACATCTAATTTGAGATGTTTGAGAAAGAAATTATTACAGAAAGTGACTACAACAATTAATTGTAACACAGTCATACTCACATTTACATTTGGGACACATTATAATGTACCCAGTGTTCTAACTTTGGGGCATTATAGATCCATTGGTTGTCATTTACTGCACTGCTTCTTAGTGATTACGTTATAAAAGACAAGGGAAAGCTAAAGCAATAATCACTTTTACAACCCTGTTTCCGCATAAGGCTCTTCAAATTACCCTGTAGTGTTGTCTAAATGCTAAAAAAAATGTGATTATTTTTTTGGTCCATATTATACCTGTCATGCATTATGAAAAACTAATAATGTGGTTTGCAATGATAATTTTACATGGTGAGTTTCTTCCTCTTTGCAATCTACGTTCTTTAAGTCATTGGGCTAGTTAAATTGTAATCCTATCCAGCACAATATCCTGAGTTATCGCTCAGGTTACATAAAACATACACACTAACCTGAGAGCAAAATTGTACTCCAAGCCATATACAGGATTGTATATGCTGCAGTCTTTCACACACAATAGCTAATCACTAATCCTGTCAACAAAAAAAAGTAATGCAATATACTAATTTAAGTTTGACCCTCAGCTGCTCATAAGACCTGCCAAGACTCTTAAATACATGTAACTTGATTGATGAATTTACTTTCAACAACCAATTATTGTCTGTAATTCATGATATACATATTAATGCTTGATAAGTGTCTTTGTTGTTTTTTTGTTGGAAAGTGCCATGAAACGTGTTTCATTGAACATTACATAAATACAACTGAAGAAATTGAGGTCTTTTTACATATCTTGGACATTTACAGTGTCTGTATTTCCAGCATATGATTCTTATCGAGGAGAGATAGTGGGAACATTATGGGAATCTGCTGCAAACTGATATTATGACCATGGCTGACTTGTGATTATTTTGGCCTATGATAAAAGCTCAGAAGTGTGTTTGGGTGTAGGCATTTTCAGAGTGTGGTCCCACAGGCATGTTGATGGACATACTCCATTAGCTGCATCTCTGAGGTGAAAGGTGGAAAAGGAGGGGAAAGGGTGAGAGTTTATAAGGGTCAGGAGGTGAAGTAGGAGTTCTGCATGGAGTAGAGACGGTCAATGGGGTTTCCCACTCGCCCTGCCAGGAGACTGCCATCCCCAGTTGCTAAGAGGCAGTCTCCAAGGTGACCGAGGCTTCCATCACTGTCCAGGTCATGGAACACCGTCTCTGAATCTGCAGAGAAAAATAATGTGCAAAGCTGAAGTGGAACAATCTTCAAACTAGTAACAGAAACCACTGAAGATTAGAAAATCACATGAAGGTAGTAGTTATTTTTACTCAGAAAGCCTGTCAGCCTTTTCCTTACACCCATATGTCTTTTTACAACTGGAAACCAGGAAAATGTGTTTTGCATCAGAATGTTCCTTTTTGAGGGGACAATTTACTTTGAATTTGCAGCTTCAACCTCCTGTCTTACCATAGGAGTGGAGCTGCTCATTGTTCAGCTGAGGCGGTGTAAGCCCATGTCGAAATGGCTCTCCGCCATAGATGTTGGGGTCCAGAGCAAGTAGCTGTTGACGTGGCAGAGAGGGATACCCCAGTATCCCATCCATGCCATGGGTACTAGAGCCATCTGTGCAGAAATGAGAAACCCTTTAGTCATACCATTTCATCATCTATTCTTCAAATCTTTGCTTATTCTTCTTGATCCTGCATTGGCACTTTAAGCTCTTACCCTCACTGTCGTCATTGCTCTGGCGGCCACCTCTGCTCTGTCCTCTCCTGGTCCCTCCCAGCTGCTCTTGTTCCTGCTGCTGCTGCTGCTGTTGCTGCTGTCGGCGAGCTATCTTTTTCATCTGAAGCGCAAAAAACACAAACTGTCTGTATGAATGTTTTCTTTGTGTGGATGTGTAAAACAGAATGTCCTCAGGAAATGCATAAAGTCTAACCTTGGCTCTCTGGTTTTGAAACCACACCTGCACAACGCGCACTGTCAGTCCAGTCTCCGCAGCCAGTGTTTCTCTCACCTACAGGTTAGAGTTTTTCATAGTTTTTAAAATACAAACTCTACAGCAACAAATACAGCTTCAAATTAATTGCTATACAGACAAAGACAAAGATGCCCAACAATAATAAAGTATGCAAGTCAAGGGGGTATTACCCGGCAGACACATTAATTGATAAGACAAGCTGGTCCACCCACCTTGCGGCAAGGTTTAGCAGACACTTCAAAGGAGGCCTTGAAAGCACGGCGCTGCTGTGTGGTCAAGATAGTGCGTGGTCGCTTTGAACGTTTGTGCTCCTTGCCTTCATCACCACCTTTACCCCCACCAGAGCCTCCTCCACCGTCCTCATCCTCACTTTTCACTGAGCAAGGTAAGTAGACAACAAAACAGTCAGAACAACCCGTAGCCTGAGTCTCTTAAACTGTAGACATTTCCCAGAATGTCTGTAGACTGATCAGAAGTCAACACACTTCTGCTATATTTTCCAAACTGAAGAAACATTATGTGAAAATTAAGGCTGACATGGCAAAATATATTTAAAATGGTGGTATTATTACTGCTACATATCTAAAACAGTTTGTTCGGTTTTATAAGACCTTTTACCATTACGATGTGCTGTTGTGCCAAGCACTTGTATCGCATGCCACTGACTCGGTATCCCAGTGACCACTGAATGAGTAACCTACTCAGTGTGTGAAATCCAGTTCACTATATAAATTTCTACATAGTGAAGGGGGCAGCTTGAGACTTAAACCCCCATTTGCCCTTCTGGAGTTATGTGATTGAAATTGGCTGGGCAGAAAAGCTAAGCAACTATGAAACGATAGCTATATGATTCAGGCAAAGCAGCCTTATACTGCTTCTTTACCTGATTCAGTTGGTGTGGGACTAATAGCGGCCAGCATTTCCCTCTCCTTCTCGTAGTCCATGCGGCAGAGCAGCTGGCCTTCTTTCAGCACAAATTCATCACCTCTTTGCAGCCGGCGTTCACACTCACAGCAGGTGAAGCAGCCCAGGTGGTACACCTGGCCTTGCACACGCATTATCAGCTCCGAACGTCCAATCACTTGCAGGCAGGCGCTGCACTTTCTTACAAAGAGTCTGGAGGGGCAGAGAAAGACATATTCATGAGCTTATTATGTGAAGGGTACCTACATAGAATGTGAAACATGGTATTATGGGAGTCAAGGAGTGCGAAAAAAAGAAGGTGAGGTAATTAAAGATGGAGGCACAGACAAGGAACTCCGATACATTTACCCTCAGCTCAAATGATTCTGGAGATTAGCATAGTCTCTTAATTAAAGGTCGTATAAACATTACCCAATTCACAGAGCAACAAGGTGAACATCTGCTGAGAGGAATTACAGTAGTCTGCATTTCTACATTGTATTTTCTTTTCTCCCTCATTACAGTAGGTGGCAGTAGTTAGCTTGTGATAAGAGAGCTGCCTGTTGTGAGTCTTTCCCTTTCAAATCCTGAAATGTTGAGATCTGTTTGATGGGGTTAACATCAGTCTATCCATATCCCACCCACAATCTTAAAGTACGTATTTAACACTATGAATAAAGCTTAATACAGAGTCCTTCTCAGGTCCATTGCTTTTCCCCATGACCACTTTCCTCCTTTTGTCCACCCATCTCTCCTCCTGTGAGATGTTATAACCCTTCAATTTCTCTCCTGCCTCGCCATCTCTTCACATCCCTATTTCCATTCACAGGGCCTAAGTCTTTGCCATTAAATTCCTCTCAAATCCCTGCTCTCACACTTGGTTTCCTCCCCCTCCCTCCCCAGTATTTTCTGCCAGCATTCCCAGTTCTCCCTCACGCCCTCCCAGCCTGCCTCCCCAGTTCACTGAAACTAATAAAGACAGGATTAATTAGATTGTTGTTTAAACAGTGCGATGGCCAGACAGACGCTGTAAACTCATAACCAGGGATTGGGGATAGCATGGGGTTAATCTCTCTCCTCTCACTTATGCACACTAAAACACACATACACACACAAACATAGACACTCACACACACATGCATGCGCACACACAGGCATGCACACAGACATTTGCTCACACCCACTGACTGAATATCAGTATACCTAGTCTGATATTGGCTAGTTACCCATGTTCACCATAC